GAAGAGTGGCATTTTCTCCACTTTTTCTTCCCAAATGAGAAGCACATGAGGAAAGATTTCTTACTTCTTCATGTGCAAAAGTCAGATACAATCCAAAAGAAAGGAAGAGTAAGTGGTAGGCAAAATTTCCAAAGCTAACTTAAGTCATAAAACAAAAAGACCATTTCCATCAGTGTAATTTTGGATTAATTTCAGTTATTATTGCTTATATGCAGTTCTGAATAAACAGGAATTTTGAAACACATATGCAATCTCTTAATATAATTCAAACAAAATTCATACACCATTTAATTTCAAGTTAAATATGTGGAGTATATTAAAAAGACACATAAGCCATTAAGAAAAAAGTCAGAAATATGAGAAAACATATTTATGCTAATTTGATGCTGTTGAATTCCGTAATAGTCATAGCAAGAACCACTAAAAATTTTATGACCCTTTTCTAAACTAAATATTATACCTTAAAAAGACTGTTTCATAAAAATTTGTTTTTTATGCATAATTCCAAGCTCATATTTCAAACAACATCCTTACTCATGAATATGGGCAATATGGTGTAGCTTCTTGTTGACCGTCCCTGCAGTAATTCACAAGCTTCAGCTTCCACAGTGCAGCTGTGAAGTCAGTAGGGAGTCATTCAGTTATTTGTGATTTTACCCATCTGTCAGCTAAAACCAAGCACCAAATGCAAAATTGTACACATGGGGATATTATGGGGATTTGTGTCTCGCCCTAGAGGATATTGGATCTGTATACCTACAAAAGATCCATAAATGATTCTTTGCATAAGAGATATCCATTCCTTTTCCACTCATGCTTATGCTATACTAGGTCTAAGAATTTTCAAAACAGAAGGAGTTCCTGTAATCATGAAAACACTGAAAATGGATCCTACAGATTACTTTGGCATCTTCTTTAGAAAATGTGAGATTTCTGAGCACAGCGTGACATTAGAATAAATACCACTTCTTAATTGAAAATATTTTACAGTACCAGAGGAAATAAAATTAGACTGGAAATTATTCAGATCCATATGAATTTAAGTGGAAGACTTCAAAAAAGCATCTCAGAGGTCTGCAAGTATGTAAACAACAAAAACATACCTCACCGATTGTATAGAATTACTTGACAGTGTGTTTCTTGCAGTGTATTTCCATTTCAGAGAGAAGAGTTATGTTAACTGCAATAATTACCACTTAAAAGCTTTCAGTCACATACACTGTGAAACTGTTTTGTATATAATTAAGAAAAATATATGGATCATTTATTCTATACATGATACTGTTTCAACACTTTCAGTTTACAGTCAGCTAGAAATTTAAAGGATGCCTGGCTTCCAATACTAAAATGTATATTTTAAAACAGTTTTGAGGTATTGATTCTTCTTATTTTTTTGAAATGCTTTTAACTTTATTTTCCTAGCATCATATAGTGTAAAGAATCATAGGCCAGAAGAACTTAATTAGCCTTATAGCCTTCCACTTATGAAATTTGTGCTTAGATTAGTAATTTACAACTCAAGAATCAATTTCTTTATCTGAATTTCAAAAGTAATGACAAGAGCTCTTAGAACTCAAGTAAATGGTAAATAAGGAAACATATCCGTATATGTTTACCCTATTGATAATAAAACAGCAGTTCCCCTACTCTAGTTAATATTAGCACAATTAGTGTTAATATATTCAGATATTTTCCATAATCAGATCATATGTCATACTGAGGTATAAAATCAATTACCCTTCACTCCAATCTAAAATACAAATATGCATAAGACTGAATTTTTGTGTCCTCACAAAATTCATATGTTGAAATCTAACTCCTAATATGAAGGTATTTACATGTGAGGTCTTTGGAAGGTGATTATATCATGAGGATAGAACTCTCATAAATGGGTTAAATTATCTTATAAGAGAGACTCCAGAGAGCTCCCTTGTCCCTTCTTCCATATGAAGAACATATTGAGAAAAGATTCTATGAACTAGGAAGCAAACCCTCACCAGATATGAAATTTGCCAGAGCCTTGATGCTGGACTTCCCAGCCTCCACAACTGTGAGAAATAAATTTTTATTCCTTATATACCACCTACCCTGTGGGCATTCTCCTACCACTACTCAAATGAACTATGATACCCATCAATAACAATGCAAGAATTCTACATATTTATTTTTTAATCTTACTAAAGGAAACGCCAAGTTTAAAAAGAAATAATTTAAAGATGGTACTCTGAAACAACAAGACTTCTATTAATAAACAATTATCTTTTTTGATTATCTATTAAATTTTTTAGGAACATCTTCACTCCAATCCAACCCATTGTTTTTGTAGACAAGATCGAATTTTGCTACACAATTCTCTACTCATGCATGAAAGTACTTCCAATTTGGTGGTGATAGTCCTGAACCTCTTTCCATTTTGAATAAAAAAAAAAAAAAAAAAAAAAGTGAGGGCAGTAACTGACCCAATAACTTAGTAACTATCATGATTTTCTACTATAGAGTTGAAAGCCCATTATCAAAATTTATGGGATAGGGAAGCCATTCGGATACTACCTCCATATTTAGAAACAAGAAAAAACATTTTTTCAATGTATTCTAACCTAGAGAAATTAAAATTAAAATAAGGATGTCATGATTTAAAACAGAAATACTTGAACAGAAACAGAACTTACCCACCAAGTTAGAACCTTAGAATCTGGAACAGTTTAACTGAGAGGTCAAAAATCTGCTCTTCCATCTTCTAATGGGAGATCTCAGGCAGATGCAAGTATTTAGGTCAAATTACTTTTAAAAACTTGAGGCAAGTATTATGCTCACTTATTTAGGTTTGCTAGATATTAATGCTCAATATATAGTAAGGTCTAGCTATGGGCAGTAAAGATGTTCTGAACCTGATACTGGAGATTTATGCAGATGTAGAAGTAAATAGGGTCAAGGTTGGGTATTTTCAAATAAAAATAGTGACCGTATATATTAATTTGTAGATCCATTGCCTTTGTCTGATTTTATAATTTCAATGAATATTATGTATAAGCAGTGTGTAATGCCCCATCCATTTTAAGGAGCTGTCTGTTCATGACTCCGTTCCAAATGGCCAACCTATTAGGAAATGGGAATTTTTCAAGACAACCATAATAGTAAACTTTGAACACCACAAAATTCCAGAGTTAAAATTCTTAACTCTGATTAAAGAAATGTTTGTAGTAAACGCTTTTTTTCTCAGTAATTGTTTTTTACCTGACTTTTGACTACTATGCTAACCTGATACTTTTATGCTAGACGATATTTGATATAGCTAGCTATGGTCCATTCGAAAGACCATTGATAGGTTGTTACCAGGCATGGCCAAAATTACTCTCATCAATAAGGCAATGTCAACAGAAACTTTTAAGAGTAGAAATACTGATCATGTTATGTGCAATGTTAGAGAGGTATTAATCAGGAGAGGGCAACTCAATGAAGTTTACTTGGGAAGTAGCAGTGGTATATTCAAAACCCTCTAAGAGAAAAATCTGGCAAAAGCAACTCCCACATACACAAGCAGGTTACTTTACTGTCATTGGGGCCAAATATAGGGGCAATCAGAAACCTTCCTGCCACCCTTACTACGTGGTCTGACCCTTATGTTTCTTTGTCAGTGGAAACAAAAAGCCGCCCATTTAACTGATAGGAGTGCCTGAATTAAGAGTCACTGATTGGCTGGCTGAGAGGCTAAGTTGGAAACAATATCACACTGTGTCCTCAACTTACACAGGTTCCACCTGAAAGGCTTCCATAATCTTAAATTTCACTTTCTTTTCAGAAACACAAGGTGTGATCATAGAATTGTACTTCTATATGGAAGACAGAAATTAAAGTGTTTCCTTTCCTAAAACATTGTGAACTATGATTTCATAATGATCATAAGAGAAATTGAATTATTTCAGGAAACATCATCTTTTCATCCTGTAATCCCAAGATGACTTTAAAGATCTCTCTAAGGGCCACTCTTGGTTGATTGGTGGGGTTTCTATCGGGATTACTATATTTATACTGTGTATTTTATGGGAAGTAATCCCTACAATGGATGTCATGCAAATGGACTTTCAATGCTGTATTGAACAAACTAAATGTATTTGGTTCCATCTCTGTGACAAAAATTAGAATGGACAATAAAATGGCAACCTCAAAAAATTCTCTCGAAGTAAAGACAGTATAGAAAGAAAAAGTGGATATTTTGGGGATAAAATTTTCAGTGGGCCTCTCTTGCGTCTGCTATTTTGCAACTAAGGCACCAGCTGCATTTTGTTCTGAGAAATCTTTTTAAGAATATTTGTGTAGGGATGTAGGGAACTGCCTTGGAAGATAGTGTCTCTTTCAGGAACAAAGAAAACATTTGCTTACAGCTTGGAAGATAAGAGATCATCTATCCCTTTGGAATAAAGAGCAGAAATGTTTGTACACAAAATATTTAGATTGCCCCAAATCACAGTTCCTTTTATATGAAAATCCCCTCTGCATTGGCATGTGTCTGCTGGCTCTCCTTCCATCATTCTGTACAACCCCTGATACTCCGGTTTTCGCCCTCACTGGGAGTAAGAATATTTCTTTCTGTCTCTGACCAAGGAATCTTATATCTTCCACCAGGATCCATGAAATTTTGGCAGGCATAAGTGTTTGTTGCCAATAGTGCAAAATATCAGATTGTTTCCAGATCGGTACAACTAAAAATTACATCTGGATAATTCAGATAAAAAATGGCACCCTCCCACCATGACACGCCACTGTCTCAACTGACCAGCATACAACTACAGCTACCATGAAGTTCATGGTTTATAGGCTGTAAGTGAATAGATTAATTGGATAATTACCAATTAAGAGAGAGATTGAAACAATACTTCTATTAATAAATAATTATCTTTTTTGGTGATCTATTAAATTTTTGAGGAACATCTTCACTCCAATCCAACCCATTGTTTTTGTAGACAAGATTGAATTTTGCTGCACAATTCTCTATTTATGCATGAAAGCACTTCCAATTTGGTGGTGATAGTCCTGAACTTTTTTCCATTTTGAATGATACCACTGGCAATGGCAACAGCATTCTTAAACTATCACACAGAAAGAACTATTGACATTCTAAATAGTATGTAATAAATATATTTAAAAGGTAGGATTGCTAGAATACAGTAATGTAAGTCTCAGGGCAGAATATCTCTGAAAAATGTAGTCTTTATATATAATATAGAATTGACTAACATAATTAAAAAGGGAATTTGACTTCTTGTAGCAACTGGCTGGCAGTGGATAGAGGGAAAAAAACAAACAAAAACAAAAAAACACCATCAAGTTGTTGTTACAGGAGTGGATGAATAGTGACCAACATGACACCTGGAAATCAATATCTATAGAATCCTGCAGAAGATATCTGAAATATGCTTACATTCACAAACCAGCACAACCTAAACTTACTGGTCAGTATCATCTGGTCAAAGGACCTGTGACTGGGAATATGCAGTACATGGTCAAAGGTCACATCTGCTGCAAAGAACTGAAGAATGGTACTGTAATTTTAATTGATGTATGGTATGTAAAACATTGCTTTACTTTCTGCTACATGTATGCATTATAACAAAAAGGTTATAATTTTATTGTCAAAATTAAATGTAATTCAGACTTTTGTACACCATGAATCATAGAAAGAGTGAATATTTCTGGAAGCTTATTTAAAGTCTCTAATTAATGTAATACTTATGAAGACTTACTGGCTAGAAAAATACATTTGGCTTTTAAAACACTGCATGCCCTATTATAATCTTACAAATATTCAAATGACTATGAATAAAAAACAAAAAAAAATGGGCTAGAAATACACAATTAAAAGGTCTTAGAAGGAACACAGCTATTAATAAAAAGATTATGGCAATAACTCCTGAACCCTGTTTTGTTTCAAATCCAGATGGACATTGGGGTTTGAAGTACATTTTTTTGAATAAAATTTTGAGGAAACTTTAAGACACATAAAAACACAACTGAGACATATGTGTCAAAGAGATATTGACAGAGCTTGGAAAATGTCTCCAGAAGAAAAAGTTACCCAGAGCCCTATGATCCATTCTGATCAAATCCCCTTGAAGATATGCTAATAAAAGATATTTAACAAAATATACTGATGGTATTTACTAATAGCATATACATTATTCGACTAGGAGTTCTTATGACAAACTTGTAATCCATAGATTTTGGAGAAGAGGGAATATAGCTTCCTGTAATATGTCATGAAAGCTTCGGTATGTAAAATAAGCCTGTTTATTGATGAAAATGACTGCCTTTTATGTAAACAATAATAACATATAGCACTTAGAAAACTCATATATTATAGCTAGATGTCATTGTTTCCTTAAGGAGGCTGGAGATAAAATAGGAAAATATATCTGTAGCTCTAGACTTGCCGCTTCATCTGTGCTTCACGACTACTACTTTGAAAGAAATATTAAAGTTTGATATTGGGTAAGATCTGAGATTCCTGTATCTGATTTGATGATATGATATTTTCTGTTATCTCAATGTACATACATCTCAATGCATAATTTTGTGAAAGGCAATACGCATGTTACCTGAATAATACAAGTTTCCATTGGAGTTTTGTTTCATTGTGTTTTGTTTTTTATTAAAGGAAAAGAAAGAGGGGAAATAAACTGTCATTACTCAAGGAGAGCGTGCATGGTACAACCTTCCGGCTCTAAGTCCAAAGTTTGATTTCTTGTACTTGAAGCTCGTGATATTTTGTTTGCTCAAGAATGGGAAGGACGGGGTGGTTAACAGACTTCTTGTTGGAATTATTTAACAGACTTATGTAATTTCCTGAGTCTATTTTCTTTTCCATGTTTCAATTGTGTGATGGGAAAGTGAGTCATTTTTCTAAGGACCAAAATACAATATAAGAATAAACTTTATAATTCCAAAGAGTTTGAAGAAAAGAATATTTGACCAAAAATAGACATATTTTCCCTTCATTGTTGTCATCTACAAATATCCAAGGCACTTTTCTACTTATGAGGTTCTTGAGTCTTGGTTCACACTCTTTCTTTCTACCCCTTTTCCTCCATGGGATCCATATCCATATGGAAAAGTTGCCCATAATTCTGGTCTCCAAATTTGTGTAGCCCACCAACTAAATTATAATTTGTTTTCCACCTTTATCCCCCAATCTCATAGCCATACTTTTCAACCTGTCAATATAATAGCATAATTTCTGAAATACCTAATTCAAGTATCCTGTGATTTGAAACCCCCTCCTATATTTCTTGTTCACTTAAGTGGTAACACTTTCAAAATCTCTAATCTATAATTCCAAGACACTAAAAGTTTTAAAAGAAAATGGTGCTTTCATAAATTTGGTGCTAAAACACACTTTGTGGTAAAACCTTACATGATTGACTTCATTCATCACGTTTTTATGGTCATTATTTTTCTTCTTTGATGTGACTATACATTTGTTCAGAGCAGAAAAAGAATCATATTTGATTAGCAGGTTTTCTCCAATGCTTCTTGGAGGTGTTACATTAAAAACTTAATTATTTAAGCCTAAAACATGCTGAATTATGAAACATATTTGGTTCCAAGGATTTCAGACAAGTGATTGTATACCAGGAATACAATATTTATTTGAACTCACCAAGACTTAAAATCCTGCGTTCAGCTACTTTTTATATTATTATCACCATGTATCATCTTTCATGCCTCCTGTTTAGAATAACAAGTCCACCATTACAAGAAAAAGTTGCAAACACAAGGAAATTTTTCTTCTTATCAACAAAACAAAACAGATAACTCGTCTGTGTTTTTCCTGAGTGCATCTCTGCAGTTGAAATATCATGACCACCAGTCCTCTTTATCTTAAGAGAGGAAACCACAGGCACTCAGCTTGCCTTCTAGCAATGGAAAATTCCTTAAGCCAAGCATTTCCTAATTGCTTTACCCTCCTTTGAACTCACTCACTTTCTCTCGCGTTGCTCTTGACTGACAATCAGATGTACTTACCTCCACCTATTTATTATCCAGGCAATTGAAAGGCTCAAATAGAACATGTCATGCTTCTCCCCGACCAAACCCAGACTTTTGTCTTCAGTCCCTCCCTCTCATTCAATTTCAGTTTTTTTAACAATGCATATTAACCTGAAATTCTCGTACTTACTTGTTAACTTGACTGTTGTCTGTCTTCATTACAGCTGGATTAGAAACTACAATAAAGAAAAAAAAAGCTTCAGCCTTATTCCTTTTGAAATTCCCAGGTCTAGAATAGTTCTTGTAACAGAGTAGGTGCTTAATTTAATAATATAATTTAATCTTAGAATCCTGTTTTATTACAATCTACTTAAAGTGAACTCCTAGTTGTAGGTTAATGAGTCTAATTTAAAATAAAGAGAGAAAAGGTTCCTTTTTTTTTCTGGGCTAACAATCTTAAAATACAAATTTAAAACTGTGCCTTCAGTTTTGCTTCTCATTAGATACAAAATTGGCGCTTGATAAAATAAGTTATATTTACTTTTCTTGGAAGGATTTCCACTTGAATTATGTTGAATTACCTGAAGCAACAGAGCATTTTCAAGATATAAAAATTGTTAAAAATTAGATGTATTTCTTATGCCAGATTAAAATTCTCCTCTTTAAGGCTTTAATCTTTATGAGCTTGTCAGGTATAGAATTTGGTTCTATCTAATCTGAAAGTTAATTACTGTTTATGTAAGAAAGTTGATTCACCTAATATTTCTTTGCACAAAAATTGCTAGTTTTAGATCTGAGACTTCAAGTGTAAAACTAAAGTCATTAAGTACAGTAAGGACAATGATTTTTCAAGGGTCCTTCCAGATGCCTATCTTTGTGATTATATTCACTAAAGAAGAAGAAAGGAAAGAAACAAGAGAAGAAGAAAAAAATTGAGAAGAAAGAGGAGAAAAGAAGAAGAGTGAGCAGGAGGAAAGATGAAGTAAGTGCTAGAGAAGCTAAAGGCGCACAGTCTCCCGCATTAGCTTGTGTACTGTAAAGCTATAATCATGAAGTTTTATCTTATAGCCTCTTTATATGCTGCTCTTGGAATATATGGGCCTTAAAACACATTTTAGAAGGTTTTGTTAGCTCCCTAGATGCTGAATTAAGGGCCCGCACAATTTTGCCTTGCATAAAGCTGCCACCCAGGGCTCCAGACCTTTTTTTTAGTGTCCTTTTCCTCAGTCAATGTCTCACATTTCCTGCTTATTCCTTCTCTCCCAATACTTGACTGTGCTTATTACTGATTCACACTTTAGATTCAAAGTTTTTTTTTTTTCCATTCTCTAACAAAACTGTGCTTTTCTCAATAACTGTAAGCCTTATACTAAGATAAAACCTGGGAGTAAAGTTGTTCTAATTTCCTTGACCAAGCATAGGTAAATGGAAGGAGAAAATAGAAAATTCAAAAGTTGCTCCCCCCACCACCCCCACATAACCAGTTTCTTGATCAAAAAAATAGCAAGGTTGGGAATTCATATTTTTGCATAAGAAGCTATCATGCAATCAGGGATCGTATAGATAGCAAGCCGTTACAACATAGAATCATATCTATTTCTTGGAACAAGAAATAGAAGAAACTGTAAAAGTGCACTGCAGATGGTCTCTTATCAATTTCTAGCTACCAACAACAAGGAAGCAATTATAACATTTAAAATACTGATTCCTTATAATTCACTCTATCAGGATAGTCTCCCCTGGGAGCACCCACACTTTTATCAGAACATAATAATTAGGCCTGCGTGGGTCTTTACCATATTTCATTACACTTGAGTATACAATGTGTGAAGCATTCATCTGCCATCTTCACTGTAATGTGTGCTTTAACATCAGTGAGCATTTCTACCCCAAAGACAGTCAACATGTGTGTTTTGACTAAGTATCAAAACTTCTGAGTGTTTAACAGTTATCAGTTCTCCTCACAAATAATATTCTAAACAGTAAAACACCCGCCAGTAAACATCTTGGACATCTGTAAAATTGCCCAAAGTGTAGGCTTACAAATTAAATAATAAAATCAGGCCTTGTAAATTACTGAGTACAAAGGCAGAGCATGGGATTGTGGACAAATGTAATATGTTGAGCTATTATACCCTTTGTATAAGTTCACAAAAGTAATTTGATTTTACAAAGTGGGGATTTTATTGTTAGTAGTGAATGAATTGACTCTCAGAGAGTTAACATCTAAATTGGAGTTCAAGTCTTCAAATAACTTCCTGGTATAACTAATAGTAGTTTGAAGTAAAGTACTGAGACAAATTGAGATAAATTCATCAAAAGGAAATAGATTATAAACAACTAAAATTACTTTATGAAGACTGATTAGGACCACCAAAACAACAGTTCAACATTGCTAAAATTGTAGGTTAAATTGTATAGATTTGTTTGGTAAAATTAAGCAGGATCAATAATTGGAGGAGTAGTCAAAAATTATCACTTCAGAATGATACTACAATGAGAGGATTTTCTAAAACAAACAAACAAACCATGGTGTTTGTGGCATCCATTCATGTTTTGTGGTATTTTTTATGTTAAATTCAGAAAGAGAGAAAACCGTCTTATAATTAAGACTGAAAAGCATAATCAGTGAAGATAAAATCTGTAAATGTGTGGGTAAATCTAAACAATTGTTGACATGAAAACTTAAATGTCCTCCCTGTATTGATGACTTTTAGATAAAATAAGAGTTGTGGATAATAAATTTTTATTATTGAGTGATAGGAAAAGAAATATTTAAATATAGTATGTTGAGGACATTGCATTATTTGAAAAGAAGTTGGATAACTTTACTTCAAATTTTAGTGAAATACATATAATTTTAATAGCTACATAGAAAAGAGAAATAAAGTACAAAACTTTAAAATGATAGAAGAAACATGTAATAAGCACGTAGTATATATGACTGAAGAGAAAATATAAAAACATTGAAATGTAATATGGGGTAAATAAATCGTAATATATAATATTTCCATATTAATAAAATGCTTATAACTGAATCATAATGCAAATGCTACTGATATAGATTGTGGGATGCTGACCAAATGATACTTAGAAGAATATTTATCCTTTAAAATCTTGTATATGAAAAAAATGTATTGCACTTAGTTACATTTGAATGATAAATAGGCTAAAATAATATGAAATAGGAATATCAGTTAAAGAAACAAGAAAAAAGAAGAGACACAAGAATGATGCAAGGACATTATAAATAGTTTATTGAAAGATTGCGGAAACAGGAAACAAATATTTAATAGAGATGAACAGCAAAGCCCAAAGACGTTTCTTTGAGTAGAAAAAAAGCAACCAACATTTGCGGCAGAATTTCAGATTAGTTTTTGCTAATATTCCTTTGGAGTTCTATCTGATGTAATGAAAACATTTTATGTTCTTCCATTATTTGTGCTATATAGTTTAGACTGACATAATTCATCACTTTATATATTCTTCCCCTCTACCCACCTTCTGAATCACGGTAGGTAATAACCTTTCTTACCTTTTTTTTTTTTTTTTTTTTTTTTTATTGTGGAGACTACTAAAAACAAAAAACAAAAACAAAACAGAGATAGCTAGATCATAGGTAGTTCTGTTTTTAATGTTTTGAGAAACCTCCTTTTTTTTTTTTTTTTTTATAATGATGGTACTAGTTTACATTTCTACCAACAGTGGGAAAGAGTTTCCTTTTCAACACATCTTCACCAACACTTGTTATTTTTTATCTTGTTTAATTATAACCAATGTGAGCTGATACATCTCATTATGGTTTTAATTTGCATTTCCTTGATGATTAGTGATGCTGAGAATTTTTTCTCATACCCTCTGGCCATCTGTATGTCTTCTAAAGGAAATAAAACCAATATGTTGAAGAGATACCTGCACACTCATGTTCATGGCAGCATTCTTCACAATAACCAAGATATTAAATCAGTCTAAGCATCCAGGAAGGAAATCCCATCATTTTTGGCAACATGGATGAATCTTTATAGTCATAAAATTCAGAAGAATACACAAATCAAAAGAAAAAACAAAAAATTCCACATTTGTGTATACATTTAAGAGAATAATCTCACCCAAAACAAGAATAAATCCCTATTTCCAAAAAGAACATTTGGGAAAACAGCCTAATATTTAAGTATTTCTGTAAATATTATAAAATAGTAATCCACAATAAAACTGAATAAACTGAAGCTACATATCACAAAGTATCAATCAATGTTCAACTAAACAAATATTGAATTGAAAAAGCACGTGGAAGAGGACACAGAGATGAAATGTGTAGAAAGTAAAAAGTGTAAAACATGTTTAGGCAGTAGATATAAATTTTTTAAAGTGACAGTAATGATTTAAAAGAAATTCAGGATAGTGGTTACATTAGAGGTAAAGAGGGATGTTATCAGTCAAGGTAAACAATAACTTCAAATGCATGTATTTAGTGTAATACTAAAATGTGGGTATCAGTGTATTAATATTTAATGCATTCTTTTCAAATATTTAAAATATTACATGATAAATTTTAGCTGGACTAATACTTTATATCTTCTTAGGTTAGTCTGAGAATTAGTGGTTATATAAGTAGGCATAAAGCATGGTGTATGGTATAATCAAAATATTTTTATTGTTATTAAAATTATGATGTTTATAGTTGTTTAGGAAGACGTCCTAGTGAATGTACTGATAGCCCATTTCCAAATATTTAAATATAATTTAAAAACACTTTTCTCATCAGTAGACAATTTCATTGCAATTTCAGATTATGGTAATAACCTTATTTAAATAATGATGTTAATATCACATTTAAGAAAACCTGTGTTTCTATTTGCTTTAAAGATTATTTTTATTTGATTTCAATTTAATTTGCAATGCTTAAAGTTGATAATAATATGTAGACTTTACCGATCTCTTTATTATGTTCTGCTTTCAAGTTAGAAGGTGAAAAACAACAGAAAAAATGTAATTAATGAAAGGATTTATGTGAAAGAAAAATTATGAAGAGCTAAAATATAATATAAATATGATTATAGTAAAGGAAAAATGTCATTATATTAAATAGTATAATTTGGTTTTTTTCTTTTGTGGGTTTCTTGTACATGTGCCTTAATGTTTCATATGTTTCCTGTAGAAAGGAATTGGTGGAGAAAACATCATATAATTAGAATTTATAACCTATGGAACTAAAGATATTCAAACTATAGTTATA